GGGGGTGGGGGGGTCAAGAAGTAGAAATTCAGTACTTTGTTATCTATGAAATTAGAAAAATTATCGTTAGTCGTCATAAACCCAGCACAAGGGGGAATCATGACCCCCATGCCCCTCTTGGATCCGCCCTTGTGTAGTGGGTAGTTATGTAGTAAAAATTTTATACTAGAAATTATCCAAAACGTCGATACAGGAACAAAAACCCAGGAAACGTTAACGTACCAACCTGTTAAAAAAGGAGCAGATTGAACATTACAGAACGGGGAGATTTGGGATTACTTCTTACAAAACTGAAGCTAAATATTGATAATTTGCTGTCATTTCATCAAGTACATACGTCTCATTAAAAGTATGAGTATGAGAAAGTATTGTTAATTTACATTTTAGAGTTCATTGTTGATTGTTTGTAATAATAAATGTTTATAATTTTGTATAACCTCTAGTATTATCTTAATAAATAGGACACAAGGAAATGTGCTACTTTTTTTCTTCTTAACACCCCCAATTCGGGATGATATTTTTGAGGAGATTTGGGAATCCATTAGAAATGTAGCGGCAGGGGGTCTACCAAAAATAGTAAAACTTTAAAAGTGGTCCACGAGAAAAAAAAGGTTTGGGAACCACTGCTGTAGACCATTAAATTTACAATACGGGTCAAGCACTGGTTCTAATAACTAGCTCCACTGGTCTGCAAAAAAAGGTTTTTTTCCTCCTCATTGTTTTCATGCATGATAACATATTTGGTGTTCTAAACACGGAATTTGTATATAGCGCATAGATTTCAAATAAAATGTCCATTTAATTAAAAACGATTTTATCAAAGTAACACAATTACAAAAAAGTGAAAAAAGGCTACGGTCTAAGTTTTACAGCAAAAAATGCTTTTTTACAGTCGCAAGTGCTAGAAATATCAGTACAGTCATCTCAGTATGGTAGTATAATTCAATTTATTTTGTTCAAGTTTATCAAGTTTTTTTTCTTTTCAACATTTCCATCGAAGTTTCTCGGCGAACAAAAATCAGCAAGCATTGCATCTGACCATTTTCCATTGTAACGTCTTTCAAGATACATAATATCCTTATGAAACATTTCACCAAGCTCATGTGATACGGCAGCAAGACTTTCCGAAAATAAATCTAAATGCGAGTCCAAAAAATGAATTTTGTGTAACAAAATTGCGTTCTAAAGCTTTATAAGCAGAAAGAAATGATTTGTCAGCAGTTATCAGCTTTTGAATTATCAAGAAAATGATGACAAACTTTTACGAAAGCCACCCAAGCTTTTTTTCAGCTTTGTTGAACTTCGAATTGAATTATTTATATTTGCGGACCTACAAAATCCCTTCTCTCAGTTTCGCATCCATTTTCGATTCCAGGAAATTTGTATTGATATCATGCAGAAATAAGAGTCATTTTCATGATTTTGATGTTCACTCCAAAGCATCGGCATCGTAAGCGGCATATATTCGTGACTTGCTTCAAGCCAACCTCTCAACGTTCTGGAACAACCGTTTTTGGTAACCAACTTTTATGCCTCCCATCAATAGAAAATCCAAAATAAAACTGATAACCTTTTTTTTATCAAGATCTGTTATCGCATTTCGCTGTGTTTTTAGGGTAAACTCACCACAAATGTAGCAAAATCAGTCTGTAGAAATTTTACAAGTGTGCCTCATTTTATAAGCTAAAGTTAAATGAACATTATTTTAAAAAATGTTTAATTTATATTGTATATTTATTACTTCTGTTCATAAAAAAAGACTGAAACTACATATAAAATACTTAAAATTATATATATTTAATACAAATGTTGTGCAAAACTCTCTAAAGGAGTTGATATAGAACGTTAACAATTAAAAGACATGTTGTCAACTAACTGTTGTAAAGTAACAGTGAATACTACGCAGGCGCATATGTACGGCCATAGAAATAATTGTCGGCACTTTGCTTCTTTCTCTTACGACTAGCAAAAACCTATTTCGTATGTACACATTGCTTATAATGTTAAGGCATAAAACCAATTAAAAAAAGCTAAATTTATGATATTTTGAAAAAAAATAAATATCGAAAAATCTAGACGTAAAAAAAATTGGCCTTCGGGAACAGATTCAGCGCATCAATATATTTATATTGATGACAATTTTTTGAAAAAGGATTTTGTTGCAGACCTTAGTAATAGACACCAGAAAGTAAGATTTAATACTATTGAGAGTGAAAACATGCTAATAAATACGGGTGTTCCTCAG